ATGACGTATCGTACGTAGCCTAAGATCCTTCTCCTCTTGAGTTATCCTCTGGACAGAATGACGGAAGTTGCATGCAAAGTGGCACAGACACACACACACACACACACAAACACTATTTTTTTATATATAGTAGGATCTGTCGCCGTTTCGCAAAGTATTTTAGGATTTAGGGAGCTAGGAGACCCGTGATTTGAGAAGTAGCGTGCCACCATCCACAGGTCCACAGTCGTGCCCTATATTCACGATTTAAGCATCTGTTGAAAGGTCTGGAAACGGTAAGAGAGTAAGAGAGAAAATGCTTTTCCATTCCTGGGGTAACTGTCTTAATCGGATTTTTTATGACCATAAATCGTGAAAAGAGCTGATTGATAGGGGATCCGCATATACTTATAACAACGCCCTTACAACCCTATCGAAAGATCACTTGTTCCTGTTGCGGACTTTTTTTGCATTCTGTACAGATCAGCCCAACTGAAAACATTGTCGTTAATGTGTCATTGCGCTCGAAAGGGAATTTGTAGGGTGTAGTTTGCCCCTCGCGCGAACGATAAGAAAAGAGGGGATCGCGGGCCATCGCGCAATAAAAGCCCTATCCACCCGACGCTGTCCTTGCTTTCCGAATAAAATTTTAGTACGCTAATGTCAATTGATTATAGTTAGATAAGTAGGTTTCTTTTTAACGATGTTTTGCGAAAGTGAAAACTCTTCAACTGAAAGTGAAGTTATTGATTGATTCGATGACTTTCGTTTCGATTTCAGCCCAATGGATACAGCCGTGAAAGCTCTACGGGTCGAACAACTGGATGCACATGTATTGGATCGCGAAATCAGAGACATTGTCCATTCTAGCGTCAGTTTTCTGCTTTTATACCCTCTTTTCTCCATGTTTTCTTGGATCACTTTGATTCGGACTTAGAACTTTATTCTGTGAATTATCTAAACAGTTCAGCTGGAGGAATGGATCTCAACGTTGCCAACTGCCTTCCAACGCTACATGGATCGAGCCAAACCGGAATTGCGATTGGGATGTGAGGCAGCGCTCTGGACTACGCGAATATATGCAGGTAGAGTAATACGAACCTCTCCACTGAAGCAAGGGGCAACTTGGGTAATTCGTGAGTTCAAGCGCTTTTGGAAAGTTCGAACAGCTATAAACGCCTGGTAAAAGAACTTATGCTCGCCTTAGTGGCAATTAGCCTAACCGTAAAATGTTAGGGGCGTAGCTTACTTTAAGCTTATCATATTTTTATTAAAATGACGATTTATACCTTATTTTATCATTTTTAAAACCATTTTCCAAATTCAGCACAAAAACTTTATGAGATACCTGAATGGAAAGCGCGCTTCTTGCTTACAAGGGAACCTCAAGTTGGCACGGTGGAATTTCGAAAAACGCTGGCGGCTACCCCTAGGTTTTCGACTATCGCGATTCCAACCCTCTAGTCAGAATTTCCTTAATGGACCTCTGGACAGAGATACAGCACTTCCGGAAAATGATAATTTACATCCGAAAAATGAGCATTAACGATAGGTTTATGAGGCTCTCCCATCACTATGGAATCACCAGTTGAATGGCCGAGTGGTAAGCGACTCACTTGATAGGATACTGAGGAGGGTTCGAATCCGCTCACAATTTTTTTATTTTGCTTTTTGACCGGAGCTTCCTGCCCAACTCTAACTTTTGGTTTTTACTGCCAGCTGTTTTTCGTTATGGCTCCAGGCTGACTACTCCACAGAAGCCTCAGCAATTCCCAAAAAATTATGCGAACAGCTGGGTGTTCCCATCTCGGTTTTTTCACAAATGGGTCACTCGAATGAGATTTTTGAATTTTTTTGGCTTCCCCTAACGTTTTTAGGCATTTCAGAAACAGAACAAATTTTCGAAAAAAATTAACGAAAACTTGGGGTTGGGCTGAAAGTTCCGGTCAAAAAGCAAAATAAAAAATTGTGAGCGGATTCGAACCTTCAGTATCCTATCAAGTGAGTCGCTTACCACTCGGCCATTCAACTGGTGATTCCATAGTGATGGGAGAGCCTCATAAACCTATCGTTAATGCTCATTTTTCGGATGTAAATTATCATTTTCCGGAAGTGCTGTATCTCTGTCCAGAGGTCCATTAAGGAAATTCTGACAAGAGCGTTGGAATCGCCATAGTCGAAAACCTAGGGGTAGCCGCGAGCGTTTTTCGAAATTCCACCGTGCCAACTTGAGGTTCCCTTGTTAGCAAAATGCGCTATATCCCATTTGCTGTTTTTCTCTTTTTGTAACTTCCGAGTTAAGGTGATTCTGAAACTTCTGAAAACAGATCCAGAATCAGCGAAGAATTCTGCACAAAATAGGTCTGGTCTCAACTCGAATTGCCATACTGACAAAAAACACTTTACATACTGTGAAGCCCAGCCTAAGCCTAAGCAAGCATATGTTAATACGTGAGGATCTCCGATCATTAAAAATTTGCTCAAAAGTCCGAGATTTTTTAAATTCATAAGTCCGAGCTCTAATAATTTGCTCGAACACCCGTATGTTGAATCTAGACAAAGCGAGGCAAACTTGTGTTCACAGCTACCTAATTAATTCGATTCATCGAAAAATCTTAGGTTCGAGTCCAGGCCAAGGCATCCTTGATGTCTTCTACCGCGGCTATACCACCAGAAAGGTTGCTGTTCACTTTGTCATCAGCGTGCTTGGTTTGTGCCCAAAATTCCGATAAAACACGCGACTGTCTAGTGCCGTATCTACTGAAACGTCTGGTAGACTGGCGGCAGGACACTCATCGTTTGGTCGAAAGATTGGAGGGAGCGACTACGGTAGGTTTTAAAGCAAACTGTTATGGGGAAGCAGTGCAATTGCAGCTTGCCAACATTGCACACTACCTGTACTTCTTGAGGAAGGGCGGCTTTAGCACGCTCGTCGAGAGAGTGCTTCGGTTACGCAATTATAATCGAGATGCTCCGTCAATGGGTATGTGGGTTTGTTGAAGACTTTTTCAGTGAAAATTTTAGGAAATTCAGATTACGAAAGGATTCAGTTTTTGGCAACTGACTAGCGAATATGTTTATTCGAATAATTATTGCGCGTTCAGGAAATGTGAATCTTGACAATCAGAACCGCGAACTGCTGTGGCACACTTTCCGTGATTTAATTGTTCTCCTCTGGCCAATTTATCGGCTTGGTAAGTGACTTTTGCGGACCTTTTAGCCATTGTCCAGGAGGTGCATAACGGCAATGTATGAGCCGGCAAGAGTAAGTACCTTTCAGCGGAAAATCGTTGGTTGAAATGGAGCCAGAAGACGGCAACAAGTGAATCGGTTGACGTTTGCCCGATATGTGGCGAGGTGTTTGTAGCCCCGGTTGAGGTGGAGCTATGCGGGCATGCCTTCTGTTACTGGTACGTATTTCATTTCCAAAAATCTCCCCCTTAGCCGCCCGCAGTCCTGTCCGATTTTTAGGATTTAGGTATCTATCGAAAGCTCTCTTGCGATGTAAACATTGTATGTTGTAGGTGCATAGCAGCCGGCCCTAGCCGAAATTCGTGCCCAATCTGCGCCTCAACACCATGCACACTACGTCCCGCACGCGGAAACCGCATATTCCCACGCGAATAAAGGAAATGTCCCACGCTTCGGAAGCTGGGAAACATTTTTACAATATTGTTCTGAAAACTGTAAAAAGGCTGGGAAACTACGTATATTAATTTTTCGGGCTGTACTCGAAGAGGGGCTCCGAAATCTGTTCCAAGGCCCACAGGGTTGATTTTTGGCGAATAGCCAGATGCGAAGGCAACGCCAGCGCGCCACATAATCGTTTGCCGCTGTTTGAACGCGAAAACAACGATCAGAGAATCACCGAGACCGAGTGATTGGCTGCCTTAAAAGGCATTACGACATGCAATCGCCGTGCACACAAGAAGCGTTTTTTGCCCCGAGACTATTTCGGTACTCAAATATGCTACGTTTTTGCGCAATGAAAGCCATTTTCTGGTGCTTTTCGGCAGCAACCCTGTCGGTTTTGGCCAGTATGTTCAATCCCCGCGCACGCGAATTTGACTTACGAGCCTCTTTAACCAGCTTCCTCTGATCGAAATTCATCCCATCGCAGGAGTATTTATGTGAATTTTTATAGTCATCTGCCGATTGGATGCCTCACAACACCAACAAGTCACATTCCACAAGCCATTAGCTTTATTCTCAAGGCGATAAAGGGGACGGTTTTACTCATAAAATCCATTGAATTAGTTGCGTCAATAAATGGCGAGTACTTCTAGGTAAATTGGGGGGCATGGGCAGGGATATACACGTGTCTTGATGGCTCGAGGGCTAGTAGCGCTCGGTTCGTCGGGTTCAACTTCAGGCTGAATACGGATTCTGTCGTGGCGCTTCGTAGAAACACCTAAAACTTAACGCTAAGTTTTTGAAAGTGTTGATTTCACAGGTTCGTAGCCCGCTGTAGTTATGGAAATTTGTCAAACGGATGAGCGGAGCACTTGGGCATGAGAGAGAGAGAGAGAGAGAGAGCGATAGAGAGAGAAAGAGAAAGAGAGAGAAAACGAGAAAACGAGAGAGAGAGAGAGAGAGAGATGAGAGCAAACGAGAGAGCTAGAGAAAGCTAGCGAAAAATCAAAGACATTACACCAAAGACAAGCGGCTGGCCCTCGACTCATGCCCATCCAATTCATCAGTGAGGGAAGCAGGAAGCTTTTTGGGTTTGAAGGAGAGGAACACCTGCCACCCATTTAGACTCCAACAAAGCATGTGAATCCAAGAGTCGGGAAATTGGCTAGACAATTGCCGCCAGCGGAACTTTCAAACCTAATCGGTGTGAGACGCAAATTAACTAGAAATCGATCACCCTGCCTTTGTCTAGGTAAAAGGGGGATTTCAACGCCTGAATTCGAGGTATCCCTTCTGGCTTGAGGTTCTTTGCTTCTCCGCTACAGCAGCCTACGCAACTTCCAACCAAAGCCTTACCAAGATTATGGAGACAATGTTTGTTGAAATCACATCTCGTCCCGACCGCGAGCAGCCATTGCAGAAGTAGCCACCATATAGAGAAGACCCATCAACACCATCAGGATAATCAGATTGACCGCCAGAATGATTGTGTTCTAGAAAAAACAAGTTATTTTTAAGCTTTTGCTTCAAAAAGTATTTTGGGGCAGGTGCGTGTTTCAAACACGACATTGTCGTTCAATCATGGTTACGTTTTGGTTCCGAACATTTTCCCCAATATGCTCTGCTTCCACTCTCTAACGCTCTCTCGCTCTCTCTGCACCAAAAAATAAAACTCTTTTCTGATTTTTTACCTTATCAAAGTGCTGCTCGGCGACTTCACTGAGGGACGAGCGTCGCTTCTGCATTCTTGGCTGACTAGAACCGGGGATGTTAGCAGGCATCTTTCGGGGGGCAACTCGATCAAAATGCGAGCGGGGCAATGCTTTCAGGTTTTGGGACGGTGGCCATCTCAAACGCAGTGGGGTCCCTGTTGACCCACACGCAGAAATGATTTCGGGATTTCAGAGCAAATGTTGAGAGGACCTGTCTCCGCAACGGAGAGCGTCTAGCGTTAGATCCGGGTAGCAAAAGCAGATCGAGGCAAAGCAAAAAGCGGGCTGTTGCGAGACCTTGAAAGTAGGTTATTCAGGCAAGAGTTTTCGGTGATCATTTTCAGTCGAATTATGTTCACCTTTGCCTTCCCCACTACCTCCTCATATGTACAAAACGTGAAACGCGAAAATAACGGTTATCATTTTTCTGTTCCGGGTAGAGCAAATAAGCGCAAAATCCCACCTGGGCTTCTCCATTGTATTCTTGCCGTGGGTTGCAGATTAATAGGCGGTTAGAACTGGCGCACGAGGGGGGACAGGCGGAAATGAAAATCTGGAAAGCACCATATCAGCCGAGGGAAAGCGGAATATGCGTTGAAAGCTGAAGCGGAAAGCGGATAGTTGGAAGGCATGCAAATGTAGAAGAAACAAGAGGTGGTGGGGGAGGAGGAAGATGACGCTTTAGCAACAAGAATTGATCTAAGGCAACAACAGTTGTAAAATCATCTGTGTGTAACGTAACTTAAGAAAAAAATTAGCGCCTTTTGAAAGTTCTTGGTCAGCCGCAACGGGTTTCTGACTTTTCGATTCGACAACAACCCATTTTGTAGCTGACGCGCATTGGCTCAGAAATTAACCGCTAATCGCGGTGGTATCAGTTAAAACGATGCCATAAAACGATGCTGTACCCATCCCTTTAATGCCTGGTCAACTGTAAGGCAGGTAACCTGGTTCGAGAGCATTTAAATAGCCGTTCAAAGACAAGAAAATAACAAATAACAACAGAACCGCTAGCCCGGTGACGGGTCGTGCAATTAGTCCGCGGCGAGTTGAGGAGGGGGGGATGCTTCAAAACATGTTGAGGCTGACGAGAAGGCGATTGCCCTTGGGCCTCGTCTGTGTACGGGGCTGTACTCGCCACGAGGTGTCCAAGAGGCTATCGGCGCCTCAAAACGGTGAAAATGGATATCGTACACAGGTAACGAGAGGAGGTTGTTTAGTGGATTGGGGAGTCGGGACCCATGGCTCGATCACCAGCCCATCTTTTTTCTGCTTTTTCGCCCCGACGACCCGCGGGGGGGGGGGGAATGGGGCCAAGCCGCGACGGCTGCTGGGAACTTGTGGCGCCTCGGGGCCCATGATATTGGTCTATGTTCGAGAGGCATAGCTTATCCATAAAAAGCGGGAATTGACGCTCTACCTGGATAGGGTAAGCTCATGTTCGATTCTAAAAACCCTGCTTATATACTTTCTTTGCCCCAAAATACTTGGTTGTGGAGCAGTCTGGGGTCACACTATCCCCCCGCCCCCATTCTATCTCGGCTCCCCATTGTCCTACAGTTTTCAACGTATATTAAAATGTTCGTTGTCGTTTGGGAAGTATTTTGATATCCCTTACCTGGAACTGAAACCATTATTATTGAGAGGACCAACGCGTTAGATTACAACGACCTGTCGACAAACAAACCGGAAGGCAATACATCGGAGATTACACACCTAGGTATGGCTCCCATCCAGAAATCAGTTGAATGGCCGGGTGGGGGCGATGTAGGATACGACCAGGCGACGTTCGACTTTTTGTTTTGCTTTTTGGACGGAGTTTCGATTTTTTCACATGTAAACTTTATTCGTTGGTGATGAGGCGGCCTGCAAAGTTTGAAATTGCATCTTTCATGCGAGGGCCCCTTTCTAACGAACGAGTAGCTTAAGACTTGTAGTTTTCCAAAGTTCCGTCAAACGCAAAGTCGAAGGGACTCGAACCCTGGTCAGTATCCTAACAACTAGCCGCTTACCACCCAGCCATTCAACTGGTGACTTCGAGAGGGAGCCCCATAACCCTGGGTGACTCCTCCGAATGTAAATGACCATTTTCGGAATCGTACTCGTCGACAGGTCGATTTCTAATTCTGACAGCGCGTTGGATCGCCGTCGTCGAAACCTAGGGGAGCCGCTTTCGAAATCACGTCCAACTTGATACAAAAGTTCGAGGCCCGCTGGGGTAGCCACGCCATTCCAGGCTTTAACAGGCAGGCACGGATAGCTTTTGGGCTACGGCAGGCTCCCTTGCACAAGGGGACAGCGCGTAGCTACGTTTTTGTTCGAAAGACAAATTTTTGGACAAAACTGATTTTTCTCGAGTGTAATAGAAAATTAGAAACTCAATTAGATTTAATATCCTAGACGCCAAGGCGCGATTTTGGACCTAACTATCGAAACTATTTTGGTACTTTTTGTGTGGTCTTTGTTCAGTTCAGGATTTTTTGTGCGGTTTGTAAATAGCGCAGAAACCCAGCATTGCCGCTGAAATCTGAGCCTAGATTTGTAAAATCAAGGTCGATTACCCCCAGTGCGTGAAACGACGCTTAAACTGGCTCCAAGTGACTGTTTTGCGAAATGTACGCCAGTGGTCAAACGTCTCTTTTGATCGGGTTAATTTTCCAGATCCTTTTGTTTTAGCAGTTTTCAATGGCTGGAGCACAGTTTTTAACAACGCAGCTTGGCAAGGTTTTGGGCAGAAATAGCGGTTGCACGTTGGTCCCGGGGGTCGAACCCGGACCCTCTGTTTGAGATTTGGGTCGGCGCTACCGATGCGCCGCGGCCCCGGGGGTCCTTCCTGCCTCCTTGGTGCCGTAGCGGGGTGAAACTGCACTCTTACCAAACCTTCCTGGTTTTTAGCCATGCAGATATGCATAAAAACGAGTTTAGCGAAACTTACCGAACTTCTTAATAGTGAAATTATAGAATTCAATAAATATTCATTCAATGTTCGTGGCAAGGAAGGGGCTCGAAAATAAGAGGTATCGATTTGGGGGCCTAGGCCCAGAGCCGGTGATGGGACACCTGATCGCTGGGTCTCTTCACCCTGGAACTTGTCATGGATGAGCAGGAAGGAACAAAATACGAACGGATACTCAAAACGATGTCGCAACGGGTCGCCCTCGATCGACTGGTGTCTTTGTCGGACCAACAGAGAATTATAGGGTGCGTTTGGAATTTTGGGATGTGACCTTGCTCGATCGATCTAGCTTAAAATTAAAATAAAAAAAAAATCCTACTTTATATAAAAAATGTAAGTGTCTTGTGAAAATTTGCGCCGAAGTGGGCGCTTGGTCGATTTTGGACGACGTCTAACAAAATATAAACTTCCGTGCGTATGTTCTAGTGGTTTTCAAGATAGGAAGTTGTTAGGGGTACGTATGATACGTCATCCAACGTGCGTATTGGTCACGACAGGCTCCGACTGCACACATATGAGGACTTCGTGCCAAAACTGTCAGACTGTTTTAGTCTTTAATGCAAAATCGACACTCAATTAGAAGCACCAATTGTTCATAATTTATCCCTCATAACGTGCGCATTATCACAAGATATTGATCATCACAAAACAAGAAACAACATTAATTGGCATGGCCCGCAATGTGTGGCATGTACAACTCACCTTTTTATCAATCTAACAACCCGTGTTTTAGAAGGGAACCGGACAATTCGAAGTGGGGACAGATTCAAGAAAATAAACACTTAAGCGGGCATTATCGTAAGATTATCGGGGGTTTATCATGCGGAAACGTTTGCGAGAAGATCGTCGCCCCCATCTTCCAATCGTTTTGCGGCCCGTCGAGCTTTTCGCTGGGAGAGCCATTGGCCGAACGTCTTCAGGGCGTGGATCTGACCTAAAGCAAAAAGTCTTTGTTTTTCTAAGTTATTAAAGGGGTGGTTTGGAAAAGATCACGATATTTAATCGCGCACGACGAAAATGTCTTATCGGAAGTTCGGCTTCCTAGCCCCCTTTAACGGGTGCGAATTCTTATACCGAGTATTAAGAAAGATTTGTATGTGAGATGAAACTAGAGGGTAAAAACTAGCTGATTAGAAAATTGTTATTAATATTTTCGCTTATTGAAAATATTTGAATTTCCGTGTATTATTTTTGCACCGTGTTTGCCCCGGGCTTGGGCATAGCCCTAGGCGCCTGAGAAACACAGGTATTAGTAATAAGAAAGAACGAACCTCCAATAAGTACGGGCATGCCGAGCATCGAAAAGCAGCAAAACGTACGGCCTATGTAGAACATCCAGAATAGTAGAGGTGTGGCGACGGTTACAATCTTCTACAATTCAACATATTTGGTTTCGCATAAAACTGGGGGTGGACTGACCCGATAGTGAAGTGGCAGGTCGGGACCAACGCGATGGAGCTGGTCGAGGAAGAAGTCCGATGATGATAGGTAGCTGTTGATCTGGATAATGTTTTTATAGGTAGGCGTTTAGCTTAGCCCCTCCGTCACCCCCACCCCAGTCGGCGCCTAACTCTGGTATCACCGTTTCCCCTAAGTCCATAGGGCTATAATGTTTACTGAAATGTGCGTCTTGCTCCGGTGAGTATTTTCATATGCATTACAGCCCTGTAGCGCAACCGGGAGCCTAGATACAAAACTTTGGGCCATCGCAGTTCCGATAAGTTACGATCTAAAAATTGTTCTACCTGGAGGAATAAGGTGACAAGGATCAGAAAGAAGTGAGAACGGCCATATAGACCCAGACATCGCATCGGGTCTTCCCAGGCGTAGAAAAGGTCGGATGAGTGCAGCTGGTAGCGCTCCTGTTAAGAAGTCTTTTAGAACTTTTCTCAAGTCTCGTAGCAAAAAAAAAGAAGAAAAAAAAAGAACGTATCCTAAAGCAAAAAGAAAACGTAAAACTATTGCATGGTAATGCATTGCCTGTGGAACTGTTCCGAAGCCCGTTTCGACATTGATTAACTGACCTTCATGGTCATCTTATGGGGTGTCGCCACTCGTTTCAGACATAAATAGATTCCCAGATAGGTGAGCACGACAAAGATGGCCAGCAACACCTGAGCACAATATTCAATACATTTGTTTTGAGGCGGATACCTCAAAAATGGCGGCTCCCGCACACAAAATTACCGACATGTCGACGGAAAACAAGAGGACGAGAAACAGAACACGCTCCGAGCCGATGCACCAAACCTCTGAAAATTTCAACAGTTGAGAAAATCACGACCGCACAATGCTTAAAACTTCAATTAGCTAAAGCCACCTCGGAGAGTTTTCGAAAACGCACTGGTACTTTTAGCGGGTGGTTTAGCAGGTGGAAATTTTTTTTTTTTTTTTTAAATTTTTTTTTTTTGCTATAAAAAAAAAAAAAATATTTTTTTTTTTTTTTTTTTTTTTTTTAAAAAAAAAAAAAAAAAATTTTTTTAATTTAAATTAAATTTTTATTTTTTATTTTTTATTAATAAAAAAAAAAAAAAAAAAATTTTAATATTTTTATTTAATATACGAAAACAGTATGAAACGCTTAAAAATTATTTATCTTTTGTCATAGGACCGTCAAGGATTACTAGGAAGAATTAGTTTTCCCCCGTTAAAAGTCCCCCACTCGCCCTGCAGTACCAAGATTTCTTTAGCGTTTTTTCGTACATTGGGCGGCGTTAGGTCAAAGTTAGGTCCCCCCCGCTAACAAGCTAGTACCAAAATAAAAGTGGATACCCTTCTTGCCGGCCGTCGTCGCGATCTCGAAAATGAGGGCAATTGTGGCGAGCGGGACGAGCAACGAGACGGCTGGTGTTGTCTCGATGGCACGGAAAACTGCAACATGTCACATAGTACCACGTCAAACAAAAATCACTATACCCCACGTGGCGTCTAAAAGATTGGCGACTAGCCAATGAAGCAGAAGCAGCCCTTTACGGGTGGAGACGAACCATCGACAAACTACGGAAGCAGCTGGAAAAAGCCCCGAATTTAATTAGTAGAACTCAATTTCGATACTATCCTCTGCATTCATTTTATATGTTGTTGGCTAAAAGTTTATTTGGCTGATGAACTTATGAATCTTACGTATTTAAACTTTCAGTAAAAATACGCCTCCTGTAGCCCAAAACCTAAAAGCTTCACCACATTGGTTTGGAAAACTGCGACTAACTCATGCGAACAATTTACAGTTATTGAGATTAACCTGGCCACCGGACAACTAGCCACACTCTCAACATTAAGAAAGCGATCCGTGAAATATTGCAGCAATTGTCATCTACAAAAAAGCTCACCAAAGGCGACCAGGGCGAGCCAAGCGGCTGCCGCAATCCACACGACCATTCACATCACGTTGCGAAGCCGAATTAAGCACTTAACAAAGCTTATTTCAATATTTAGATGAGCTCATGGAAATGGCCGGAGAACACGAAAAATTAGTGGGATAGGAAGCGGATTAAACTTGGGGAAAAAGACGTCCTGGTGTTTTTTGGGTTGTTCCCCAGTTAGGAGGCGTACGCCGGAAAGGTGCACTTGCCTCAACGCTCCGACCACGTGCCTCAAAAGAGCGGGCCCAGCGCGAATGAATTGAATGTAAGAATGTGGAGGGGGAGAGGTATAAGGAATGGAATATAGTGCAACGACGAAGAGGAGGAAGATCGATAGGCAAAAGCCCTGAAGGGCTCCCGTCCCACACTCCCGGCAGGTGAGTTCGAGTGGCTCCAATGGTCACTTCATACAAATGGCATTTCGGGAACGGGAAAGAGCCACGCGCCAATTGTTTCCTCGTCTGTTGCCAAGGGTACCAATCGTTGATGCCATTTGATCAGCGAGGGTTTTTGATGGGCCGAGGAAAGTGGCATTTCCGGACCTTTTAAACCTAACTTGGGTGGTTAAGGAACAGTGCCGTTTAGCCGTTAAGTTAAGAAGGAAGTGAGCGTGTAGTAGTTAAACAGTAGAAAAATGTTTTACAAATCGGGTCAGGGTTGTCAATGAACCATAGTTACTAAGCACAAGCTTATAAAAGTCCTGGTTTCCGAGAAATCGGCTTTCTGACTCGGTTATGTTCATGATGTCGAAAACCAAGACGTCGAAGTTTTATAACGTGGAAATTTCAGAATGCCGTGTTTTGCATATGAAAATCTTCCGGAAACGCCTCCCTGTTATGCAAAAAACTCCGACTTACGACATCGAGTTGGCGAATTACGACCTGATGTTAGCGAACCGCTAAAAACCTCTAGGACGCCAAAACTGACAGAAAATGGAATTCAAATGTCGGCGTGAAGGGCATAAAAACAGACAGCATAGGGGCGAGGCGAGGCAAACATTTGCTCGCTGAATGGGGGGAGGGTCTTGCGGAAACTCGCCATTTCGAAAGCAGCTATCCAATTTTGCGAAACTTGGCCCTATAGCAGTGATATTTCGGTTTTACTTGCCGTAAAGTTAGGTAAGCGTAAAAATTGTCGCAACCGAACGGCCGAAAATCCAACTTGACTGGTACTGGGGTGTTAGCAGGGGGGTTTAGCATGACTATATTTTGCCTTTTCACTATGCTTACCCATTAATAATAAACAGTACTTTTCTATAATGCTTTGCATAGTTTTGGATTGATAAGACTGAATATTACACAAACTCTTGAAGGATTTTCGACAATTCAAACATTTTACCTTTTTTGGTTACTTTTCATATATTTTTGACCAAAAAGTCACCAATTTTTGGAAATTTCTAGGGGTTTAGGAGCTTTTTGTACCTAAAAACTATGCAAAAATGCTCAAAAAATGGTTTATATTTTGTGATAGGGCCGTACAGGCTTACTGGCGAGGAATTAGTTTCCTCCTTGCTAACAGTCAAAGATCGCTCGTCTCACGATCCGCTGGAGCTGATCATTTTGAAGACCGAGAGGTTGAATAAATAAAGCCTCAAGGGAACTGCGATGACCTCAAAAACGATGGAACGACAGAATAAAATGCCCAGCCATTCACCCCCGCCGTGCACCGCCATTTATTCAAGTTCCGAGGAGATTCGGACTGGGAGGGTTGTGGATGGATGGATGGAGGGAGAAATGGAGGGTGTTTGAGCTGCGCATGAGAGGGCAGAAAAGAGACAAGCAAGAAGCCTGAGGGGGGATAAAGAGATATCCATGTCTGCATTCCCTTACCACTCACCACCAATCCACCCATCTCAGCCTTTCGTCCCTCAGCCCAGCCTCAACCTTTTCCTCGTTAAAGGGGTTCGGAAATCAAAATTCGTGCGTGCGGGCACTGAAACCTGTTGCCAAACAACGAAAGGGTTCCTGCCGAGAAGCACCGGAAAAAATATGTACGCACCTATGCACGCTCATCTTTCGACGGACGGCGCGATTTGTTCGTTACGAGCGGAAATTTACCCAATTATGTAAAAATGCAAGAGCGGGGACCAAATTTTTCCCAGTATTTGCGCTCGACTCTACGACAAAATATAAAGATTCTTATGGCATGCTGCACACCGTTGTTAGAAATCAAATGTCTATTCTATTTATCGAAATTTCTTTTTGTGGTTTGGTCAAACGTATGCAAAATGTCCAAAAACGGTCAACATTTCCGAAATTTTAAAATATTTTTATAACTCTCCAGCAAACAAAAACTGCGAAAAAGCTAGAAGCTAGCTAGAAAATTGAAACTACTATTCGAAAACAAAAAAAAATGCGGACCTTTAATGCACAGGCAGGGACGTAGCGTAATACCGGCCCCGGGGCCCGGCCCGCCCCCGAAATCGGCCGGGGCCCGAAAATTTCATAAGGGGGGACCCTTATGATTTTTAGTTCCTCAAAAATTTTGCTGCCTGCGGCGCTATTTTTTCACGTTTTTACAGCTATTTGTGTAACCTATGTAACCTTTTTCAAAAATTTTTGCCTGCGGCGCTGTTTTCTCGTTAATCTTTTGAGTTTTTTGGAAAACATTTTTGGGGCCCCCCCCCCCCGAAATTTTTTCCTGGCTACTCCCCTGTGCACAGGTATCGAATATGGTATGAAAACCATCTCGCCGAAAAACCATCTCGCCGAAAACCATCTCGCCGAAAACCATCTTGCCGAAAACCACCTCGCCGAAAACAATTTCGCCGAAAACCATCTCGCCGAAAACCATTTCGCCGAAGACCATCTCGCCGAAAACCATCTCGCCGAAAACCAACTCGCCGAAAATCTAATTTTGTATGCAAATTTTTTTTCAGGCTTGTTCCATTTTGGTCTAATACTGGAAAAAAACACTGATCATGACTGAGCCAATCGGTTTACGGCCTCAAATCATAGGGGAAGTGTCCGGGCACAGAAACCCTGAAAAAAGCAACTTTCTTTACTTTTTTTTTGTGACCTGGGGTATGACCGCAACTACGCGAAAAAATTTGCATGCAAAATTAGATTTTCGGCGAGTTGGTTTTCGGCGAAATGGTTTTCGGCGAGATGGTTTTCGGCAAGATGGTTTTCGGCGAAATGGTTTTCGACGAAATGGTTTTCGGCGAAATGGTTTTCGGCAAGATGGTTTTCGGCGAGATGGTTTTTCGGCGAAATGGTTTTCGGCGGGATGGTTTTTCGGCGAGATGGTTTTCGGCGAGATGGTCGGAATTCATCGAATATCTATTCTTAGATAAGTTTTAAAAAGCGATACTTGTAGTGAAATGCGGGCTACGTTTTGGGAAAATCAAGGTGCGTAGTGAAATGACAGAGAGAGATTGGAGGTTCCGGTTGACGTGAGTGCTGCACCTGCGCCGATTGGGATGCAAAATCTGATATGGGAACATTGCGATGGCTTTATTCTTTGTGGCCGGACGAAGGAAATTCGGGGCGGGGGGGACGGCGAGACCGTAAAGCACCAAATAGTGGGTTGGACACAGTGGGGAGAAACACGGCTTGAATGGATGGAAAGAGGCGCAGGGCGAACAATGATCGATACGAGTCACAATATATTGTTTGTTCGCCGGGGTGTGGCTGCGTGAGCGGGGCTAGCCAAGGGAGGGTACCATAAAAGGCATTGAGCAGCGTACAGACAAGACAAGAAGTATATACACAGTAGCAAGTAAGTATTACTGAGAGGATAGAAATCTACCGGGTGTCCCAAAAAAGGATGTTCTCAATTAGCATGCAGGACTTGCATAAAACAGCATTTTGATGGTTTTTGACGTACAACTCGCCCATAAAAATACATAATAAAGAAAAGGAACCCTCCTTGTTGTCTCGCCTTTTCGAGAACTTTCGATAGATACCTAAATCGGGACAATCGGATACGACTGCGCGTCGCTCGAGGGGTTACTTTTTTCGGGACACCCTGTAATGTATGTCAGAATGGCTGCCTTGTCAGGCTAAATATGGCCTTCCAAAATAATGTCATTTGATGGTGGTATATGAGAAGCTGATCTGCTGAGGCTGATCAAGCTAAACCTGGGCAGTCTGTTCCTGCTGGGACGAAGGCGATGCCTGTCCACCCGGGCTGGCCACCACCTTGATTGGGATTGAGCGAGCCGGTGATGCCTCCTTAAATGGCGGAAATGCATTAGAATAATCGTTCCCACCTTCTTGGGTGCAACTGCAGATACCGTGAGTAGTCCATCGGATGCCAAGGAAGAAGTGACGGATTCAGGTGGACAACCCTTCGGCAGCGCCACCTTACGTGTGAACTGTCTAAAATTGGTGAGCTGATGGCAGCACGGAGATTTTTTCGCTTTATCACAGCACCTACCTTTCAATACTTCCAAGCTCGTCGGTGCGCTCGCCGTGCTTGGCCTCGATGACGATAAAGTCGCCGACAACCGACACCTAGGAGCTGCATGTTAAAATCGTTTAGCCAAAAATTCCTTGCTAGCTTGGTTTTTGTTTGGCTTGGTGATTTTGGTTACTTTTTTTCGAAAGTTCGTTCTCTTTCCAAAACTTCTGAAAGCATCCAAGTAAATCATAGGGGCTTTTCTGTAAAAAAAACGGAATGTGGGTAGACCCAACTTTTTTTGAATTTCGAGAACGAGTGTTCAGGATTCTTGGGAGTAATCAGTCTGGGGCCATAACCAAGAATTTTTTTTATAGTAAAAATCAAAACGTGGAGTTGGGCAGAAACTTCCGGTCAAAAAGCAAAATAAAAAAATCGTAAGCGGATTCGAACCATCGTCAGCATCCTAACAAGTGAGTCGCTTGCCACTCGGCCACTCAACTGGTGATTCCATAGTAATGGGAGAGCCTCATAAACCTAGCGCTAATGCTAATTTTTCGGATGTAAATCATCATTTTCCGGAAGTGCTGTATCTCTGTCCAGAGGCCCATTTAGGAAATTCTGACTAGACCGTTGGAATCACCATAGTCGAAAACCTAGGGGTAGCCGCGAGCGTTTTTCGAAACTCCACCGTGCCAACTTGAGGTTCCCTTGTAAGCCCTAGATATTTCCGTTGACTTGCCCACCTTCAGCTCTTCCGCTTTATAGTCGCTGACGTTAATCGTAATCTGCACGGAATCGTCGGTCTGCTGGAGCGTTCCTAAAGGGAAATGTTAAATTGTCACTTTTACTATAGAATATGACGCCCCCAAGCCAATATCGACACTGACCAACGTTGGTGCTGACAGTGCGAGATGAGCTGGATTGATGGCTAGAAAAAGCCGGGCTGAACGTCGGGAAATTCGGAAAGCCGGCGATCGTCGGCAGGTGCTAAAAATTAGATTGAACGATTTTTCGCGACAACATGGCACTTGCTTGAAACAACACGATTAATGCTGTTTTACCTGCAAGACCGATTGCGTCGAGAAGGGCGAACCGCTGCGGACAACCCGGGGAGCATCTTCGATTACCTGAAAGCCGGAAAAGAGGCTCTGGACTGTTAGCGGGGGGGGGGGGCAACGGGGAAAACCAATGTTTGTTTATGTTTTTGGGTATTTTTCGATAATCTGTTGACATTATGTATTTTCTATAGTTTTTTTATTAGTTTTTGCTTGCTAGAAAGTTATAAAAAGATTTCTTTTTAATTTGAAAATTCGGAAATCTTGACCCGTTTTCGTACATCTTGACCAAAAAGTCAAAAATTTGGGGCCCCCTCCGCTAAGTCCAGAAACGGAAAGGACGAGAATGTTTTATATTGAAGAAGCAGAATGCAGGCAATAACACCTTACCTTTTTCTCATAGGTCCTATTGTATGTCGTTTGCGTGTTGAAGGTGGCCATCTTGCTAGAAAAAATATTTTATAGCCGCAGGAGGGTGTGGGGCACTTGAAAATCATTCAATTATTGTAAGCATCAAGTTTAGACGAACGTTTAAAAAGATGTGTTTCGAAGTCAGCAATCCTAGCAACAAAGGACAGGGATGTTCTAATGAATACTGAGCTTATCCGGGAGGCCGCCAGCTATTTATCTGTGTTGTTTTGGGGGGACCCCCGGGGGGAATGCTCACATCCTCCCCCACAAACAGCTGCCTGGGGATGTCGACATTGGAACGCGGGCAATCCCCGGTTATGTCTACCTGGCTGATGTTCGGGGATATCGGCGGCCGAGATCGAGGAGTTGTGGCCCTGGTCGAGTGGCGATCCCACGCAAAAGCCTATGACTCAAACCCTGGCCCCCCGTTCACGTACACAGCGGGGTGCCTCTAGAGGCCTTCAACTCCGGGTACTATAGTAGGCCCTTGCCCTCAACCCCTACACATTATATTTTCTTGGACCTGACTACTAACAGGCCAGATGGTTGGCAAATCGCATCTTGAAGATTCGAGCCATAATGTTCGAAAAAGTGAAGTTCCTGCAACTCTATGCCGATTTTGGTCGGCTAATGCCAACGAAAGCAATAACAAAACAGTAGAATTAGCAGGTAAACAAGTGCAGAGAAAATAATGAAACGGGTAATGGATAATAAAACAAGGAAGCTACTGGATGATCTAACGCCTTTGATGTAAAACTATCTAATATTGTGCTATCAAATCTAGGTTCGGCGCCTCCAAACCGCCAATATTAACCGATCAAAAAATTTGTCTAGCACCAAAACTCCGCTTTAAACTATCGATTCGCGGAGACGATCGGCAAAAAGTGACACCGAGGAAAAGTCGGGAACAGATGGCGACTTTTCGTTGGCTTGTCTCTGCCTGGGAGCGGGTCCTCTTCTCTCACAGGCCCCCCTAGTAAATAGCTTTGCACTCCAATACCTCCCCGCTTTCCATCATCTCAAAAAAACGAGACTGTATCACACTGACACTGAATGTTTATTAGGTGGCCGACTCCCAGCCCTTTACAGGGTAAACCGCAAATTGTTAACAAAACTGTAATACCGCAATAGCCACAATCACAACAAAAATATACAGTAAAATACACACACGAACAGAGATCAAGTACTTTTAGGCAAGGTATCATACGTTAAAGTTCCTTTGATGAGCGAGCGAGCAGGGAATGCGCGGTGCACGAAAGAGTTATCGACAAAGCTTTGCAAAAACTGGTGGAGGGGCTGATGAATGTATGGGACTATTTCTTGGGTCTCTGTGTTGATCCTCTTCGCCGCGAGCCTAAAGATGTGAAATGAGGGGAAAGGATGAAGCCTACGTCTCTTCCACTATGTTCAAGATATCCGGATACTTGGATGTTCTCAAAATGCCCCGCATCGGTAGCCGATTATACTTCCGTTCCGCGGTAAAGGTCAACTAAAAAAAGAATTGGCTGCCAAGATACCCAAACTACCTCCTCAGCATCCGCCAAAAGATCGCGCAGCACACGAGTGTAGCTCGGATGGGGGTAGATAGATCGTTGGTGAAGCGTAATAGGGTATGCCTAAAAGGGCATATTCACAGATTTCTAGCAGAATTAATACCTGCGGTTCGTCGCCGTAATGTTCCGGTAAGGCAAAAAGCTGGCCGGGTGCAGCCTTGGCGTAGCGGCCATGGTCACAAAGTATCAGCTGAAAAACGAATCAGAAGGTTCCATCACAAACGCATTATATACCTCGATGTATTCGTTTGTTATTTCCTCGATTAGCCCCCGATATGCGCCTGCTGAATCGACAAAGACACATGCGGTTTCCGGTTCAAGCCACGTACGAGGGAGCGGCAGTAGTTTCGAAGCCTAGTATCCAATTTTCCCCACTTTCGAATAGATAACCTGGTTCTGAAGCTCGGCCTGTATTTTCTCCCGCCGCGCCAATTGCCATTCGTCGTGAAGAAAGATATTCGAAGCATTTTCTATGTGGCCTGAAAAAACGTAGAAACAAAGCTCGCGCGTACCAATCGTGATCTTCGTGTTAAACAAGCGACAAGCTTTTGGAGCCTTTGGCAGGCGCCGCACCAGCGTTATCGGCTTTTCCTCGATGCTTCAAAAAACATCATTCGGAGACATGGGAAACCAACTGTTCCTGAAAGCTCTCATCACCGGAGCTCCAGTAGTCCTCGTCCTTCTCCACGTCCGAATCGTTCTCATTCGCCTGAAATCTTCAATTCTGTAGAATCGATGATGCAACCTCTCTTCGCAAATGTTCCAGCCATTTCCGCTGTTTGGAGCGTTCCCTTTGTTCATCTTCGGGTCTACGGTAGAAGAGCTTCCCCAAATTCATACCCATCACCGTCGGATGATAAAGGTTCACCTCAAAAAAAGGAGATTATAAACGAAGCCAAGCCCCACCACATAAGGCTCAACAACACTCGTCAGCTCCACTCGAACAATTCTCCCACATGATTCGATGAGTTGCTGAAATTCGTCCACTTTCTTCCCATCCAAATCGTTGATCTGGACATCTAAAAAGAAGTTATGAATCGGGAAACCCAAACCTTTCATTCGGCAATGCAACGCCATTGGTGGAACCTTTCCGAAACGTTTCTTCATCCGTTTCAAGATCGCAGTTGAAATTAGTTGGGAGAGCCCTAAGCGTGAAAAGTATATAATATTAGAAAAGATAGTAAGCACACCATAATCGCAAAGTTCGACATGCGCGAAATTCGTCCCCGCCATTTTTCTGACACATCCACGAACAAAATTATTGCCGTTGAAAAAGACGCACGCGACACCGAGCACAATCTGAAGCAAGTCTGGTATTTGAAAGACATGATACCTGTTCGAGGAGAAGATGGGGAACATCTTCAGTGTTATACACTTCGTTTAATTCAGCGCACATTTTATTCCGATATTCGTCAAGGTATTTGGGCTAAAAAGCGATAGCATGCTAAAGTAAAGACTACCTGCACGCTGAAGTCAGTTGGCGAATAGAAAAACGGGACGCTCGCATGGAAAATTGGCAACGTGGGCTCATCGCACTTTGAAGGGGCTGCGTGCCTGTCATTCTAAAAAGCAATAAACGAAAGTGGTAGCGCTTTACCAAATCCGCCGCGTTTGAAAAGTGATATTGAGCAATCGAGGAAGTACCGGCGAGTTTCCAGCAATAATCGGGAAATTGTTCATCGAGTTCTAAAGCATTCTCAAAATTATGCTTTGAAAATTTACCCCGAAGAACCCAATCGGGACCGCCTGGCACGACGACTAGATCACGGCAACCGGAGAGGACAACATCAGGCCTTTTCAATACGTCATCTAAAGGTAAATTTGTAGTGAAATAAAAAAGTGATACCGCCCCAATCAGCGTGCTCCGGCGTCGGCAGTCTACCCATCAACCGATCGCCGGTATTGCAGCACCAATAATTATCTAAATAAGGCACGGCCATATAAAATATTCAACGGCATAGAAAGAGAAAACAAAATGAACTGGCAGGCCGAAAAACAATCAATAAAGTTGTGACGCGGAAATAAGCAAATCTGGATATTCTCAGAAAATTTCTAGGAAGGATTCTGTAATTTTAAGAGATCTGCCGGTAGAAATTATGGCGCGAAAATAAGCAAATTTAGCTATTTTTCAGAGATTTCTGGAGAGAATTTTCTAATTCTCTAATTTTTATAAATTTTAAAAGTCCTCGAATTTTATCGCGTAATGGGTTGCCGGCAGTACGGCGCTACAAATTACACCGAGGTCTGCAGGCGGTGGGCGAGGAGACAGGCGAACTGGCGAGACTGAGACGAGAATCGGACCCTTGTGCCGTCTTCGCTCTTTCGCAACCGCTTAACCCTCAAAGAACCTAATTTGTTGCTAAAGTGAAGCTTGTTTTGCAGGTTTGCGGCGTCTGGCAGAAGATGTCTTCCGTCTTCTTTGCCAACCTCGGCCCGGCGCCACCGGAGCGGCCGCCACCACCTGGTTTTTGCGCGGTATGTTTAGCATTTTGTGCCCACACCATTTTATTATGGTTTATCGGGGTTAGCGGGCGGGGCCCGGTAACCCTTTTTGGGTTGAGGTACCCCCCCACGCGGCTCTTTTTGACTCCTTTTTCCGACGCTTTTTTTCAGGTAGAGTTGAACAAAACGCGCTGGGTGGTGCCTGATCGCTACGGGAACCTGCAAACTCTGGGAGAAGGCGCGTATGGAGTCGTCAGGTTGGTGTAAATCTCTAAATCGTGCACAAACGGTATATTATTTGCAAATTAGCCATATTTAACGACGTGGTTTTAGCACGGCCGAATATCGGGCGACCGGGGAACGTGTGGCGATCAAGAAATTTTGCCGTCCTTTCCAGTCGACGATCCACGCCAAACGGACTTATCGGTAAGTTCAAAGAGTCGCGATTTTTGGTCCGTCGATTCTTCATCAGCTTCTGGAATGTCTGTTTAATAAGGGGGATTTTAGGGAACTGAAGTTGCTGCGTACACTCTGCCATGACAACGTTATCGACATGATCGATGTTTTTACTCCCGACCCCGAAGTATCATTGCTCAACGACGTGTAAGAAAGAAATACAATGCTAAAAGGTACCATTTAGCTACTTCGTGTCGATTCTCATCGGTGCCGACTTGCAGAACATCATGAAGATCCAGAGACTGGGAGATGATCAGGCCCAGTTATTAATCTACCAGATACTACGCGGCCTAAAGGTGCTCTTATACCTTCCAGCATGCCATTGATCCTTTAGTACATCCACTCTGCCGGTATTATCCATCGCGACCTAAAGCCGAGTAATATTGCCGTCAACGAGAGATGTGAGGTGAAGGTGCGTTTCTTAAAAATAGCGCTTAACGTTGGGGAGCAATTATATTGTTCCAGATTCTGGATTTTGGACTGGCTCGACCGGCTGATATCGAAATGACAGGCTACGTGGCCACACGTTGGTACCGTGCCCCTGAAATTATGCTAAACTGGATGCATTACTCGCAAACTGGTGTGTTTTATGCAAGAATCTTTGTACGATCACTTTTAGTTGACGTTTGGTCTGTTGGTTGTATCATGGCCGAGCTGATCTCCGCGCGGCCAATATTCCCTGGCGATGACCGTGAGTTAATTTCTGTTCAAAGCGGCAGAAATCTGTTGTATCCAATGCCCCTTTTCAGACATTGATCAATTGACTCGCATCATGGGTGTCGTCGGCACACCAAATGAGGAATTTTTGAGCAAGATCCAATCAGAAGAGGCGCGGAATTACATAAAGTAAGCCGAAGCTAATTGTCGTGATGTGTATGACGTTGTAGGAACTTGCCACGCATGCCTCGCCAATCCTTCAGCGTTTTGTTCCCGAATGCAAGCCCAGATGCTGTAAATCTGCTGGAACGCATGCTGGTCCTTGATCCGGACCGGCGGTAGGTTGTTGATCATTCACAAAATTCGATGTCTATGTCTATGGATATAAACGTGAGATGAAAGCTATTTTAGCATTACCGTGGATGAGGCTCTACGTCATGAATACGTTAAAGAGTGGTGGGCCCCTGAGGACGAGCCGGTAGCTGAACAGCCCGTATCCACTGATGCCGAGGAGGAACAGGCTCAGACTCTCGACGATTGGCGAGGTAGTTATCCAGCGTGGCAACTTCCACTGGTATCAAAAAATTTTTGATGCAAACGCCGCAGAACCAATTTTCCCCACCATGAGGATAATTTTCCATGTGTTCAGAGCTAATTTGGCGCGAGATGGGCATCTTCCACCGTTCTCCACGGCACATCAGCTGTTTCGCCAGCATCCAGGATCTAGAGAACAAACTACGCCCGCTACCCGTAATCCACGATTGAGAAGGGCGCGTCGTGGATGAGCAGCATTTTGCACAAATCTTGCTAGCAAACCCCGTATTATTGCGTGAAAGGGCTCCGCTTTCGGCGCGCTTTTTGCCAAAAAGTGGAAAGAGCATTGCCTTTCCCGTCGGTGCGTCTCCTCTCCTTTCCAGCGATACAACCTGTGCCGCTTGTTTGGTTCAATGCCTCTCCTTTCTGCCCTCCCCCCCCACCAATTTCTCAGCTTATTTGTGTTGACACTAGTCGAGCCATGTCGCAAACAGCCATTCATTTGATCTCCACCCTCACCGCCCATCGTTTCGGTCGCTTTAAAATGAAGCCCTGATCTCGTCCATTTATCCTTGATCTCGCTTTCTCCTTGTTTGATATACCGACTTACATCCTTTACTTTCGCGTTTTTTTTTGAAAATCCTATCGACATCATGTGATTTGCGCAAGTTTCACCCACCTAGTCCACAGAAATAAATCTATTCTAAGCACATGGTTCTGAATTTGAACTACCAAGGTACTGCGGACCGATATTTGGGTGGACAACAAGCTAACAGCCTAACCGCTATTGATTTTTTTTGACGGGGACGTGTTTTTCGCCCAAAACAAAGCGAATTCCAGGATGCAGTCGAACGTCAAGGATGGGTATTATGCCGTCGAATTGAATCGCACGGTACGCTATATCCTGCAGAAATATAACGATTCTTTAGGTTTGGGTAATCCCGAACCAGTACCAAAATCTGACACCAATTGGGACGGGCGCCTACGGTACCGTATGGTATGAAATCAACTTAGAAAACTAGGAAAATTTTATTTAGTTCGGCGGATTGTACAAAGACAAGTCAACGGGTGGCTATTAAGAAGTTTTCTCGGCCTTTTCAATCGCCGATTCATGCCAAACGGACACACCGGTTTGTAACATTTGCGTAGAAGCCTAGAATTTTGGGTTCTGGACTGTTAGCGGGGGCAACCACTTTTTCCGCCTAATTTACCTGCTCTGATTTATTATGCATTTTTTATGCTCTTTTAGTAGTTTTTGATTGCTGGAAAACTACAAAAATATTTTGAAAATTTTGACCTTTCTTGCTCAGTTTTCATAAATTTTTGACCAAAACGTCAAACATTTTCGCAAATTTTTTTCTTATTCGTATATCTAAAAACCATGTAATTGTTATAAAGGTAATTTATATTTTCTTATGGGGCCCTAGAGAAACACAGGGGCGAAGAGCACCCCTTCCCCCCCACTAACAGTCCAGAACCGAATTTTGTGTGAAACCAAAATATTGATGATGCTTTTAAAATTATTCGACGCTAATCGAGATATTTCAGTGAAATCCGACTTCTCCGCTGTATGAATCATGAAAATGTCATCGATCTACTGGACGTATTCACCCCCGATAAAACGATGGACTCCCTCACCGACGTGTTTGTTTCTACAAACCACCAAAAACCGATACGATTTCAGCTATTTCGTATCAATCTTGATGGGCGCCGATCTGTCAAACATTCTGAAGATACAGCGGCTCAACGACGAGCATATCCGCTTCTTGATATATCAAATTTTGCGCGGGTTAAAGGTGAGAATGGGCCGGCGATCTGACCCAAAGTGTTGCACTTCAGTACATCCATTCGGCGGGCGTGATTCACAGAGATCTGAAGCCAAGTAATATTGCCGTCAACGAGGATTGTGAGTTGAAGGTCAGGCACGGCGCTCTCTATTTATCTGAACTACCTTGCAGATCCTTGATTTTGGCTTGGCACGGCAGACAGACTCCGAAATGACGGGCTACGTTGCTACACGATGGTATCGCGCGCCGGAGATTATGCTCAATTGGATGCACTATTCTCAGACGGGTACATTTTCCTATAGACAGTTATAGAAACTCAGAAAAAGGGTTTATCCCTTAAACTTATTGGACAAGAGCTGTTGATATTAGTCTAAAATAGGCCATAAATAAGTTTTACAGTGGATATCTGGTCGGTCGGATGTATCCTGGCAGAGCTCATCACCGGGCGTACCATCTTTCCAGGAGCCGACCGTAAGTCTAAAAACATGCTGAAAATCCGGCCTAAATCCCTTATTACTTAATTACTCAAACGAAAGCGAATGCCGTTGCAGATATCGACCAGCTGACACGCATCATGAGCATTGTAGGCACGCCTAGTGAAGAGTTCTTGGCCAAGATCCAGTCGGAAGAGGCACGCAACTATATAAGGTAACTAGGGCAAACATTTTAATGAACCGCCCACACCTAGGAATCTGCCGAGGATGCCACGCAAGGACTTCAAACAGATATTCCCCTCAGCCACCCCTGATGCCATCAGTCTTCTTGAAGCCATGCTAAATCTGGATCCAGATCGACGACCTACCGCTTCAGAGGTGCGCTCTTGACAGGCATTAGTATAGACGTTAACCGCTTTCCGTAGAAGCAGATACTCGCCACAAGTGCAGAAAATCTCCATATATAACTTACTTACTACTACTTATTTACATAACTTGCTCTCATTTCAGGCTATGGAACACCCGTACCTCTCGCAATATCACGATCCAAATGACGAACCGACCAGCGAGGTTAGGCCGGCCCGGAATCCTTAAACTCCCACAAATTACAGGTGCTACAGCTCGATGACGACGCCGAATTCGCGATCGAGCAGTGGCGTCAACTTATCTGGAAAGAAATTGCAGAATATCGAGCCGTAGCGGCTGGTGAAGACCAAATGCAATACTAGGCAGTATTTTGGGACCAACCCTAAGCACGTTTTTGTCACGTTTGCCAAATATGCATCTCGGAACATGTACCCTTCACTTTGCTGTCAGAGACCCAGTCATAGTATTGTATGTATTTTGTCTTACACGGAAAGGTCAACTTGATGAACCTTCTTGACCAAGCCAAAATCTAGGCATTCATTTCAATACGCTGATTTATATCTAGAAACGACCTACATAGTCATGATGCAGCTGATCCCATCGATTCGTGTATTATCGTTATGTGTTTGGATATTCAAAGACTCGTTGTTCACCATGTTCAAGCCAATCTCAACCAGCTATATCGAAAAAGTTAACATTCCTCGTGACCTTACAAACTTGTAACCCTCCCCCTCCCAGCGCTAGGTATGTAAATTCAAGTCGGTGCTACGTTACAACCTTCGCTAAACAAATGTATGTAAATTACCCCCTATACCCCTTACTGACCAATAATTGGAGCGTGTAGTGCATCTGGAGACGTACTTTTGCTAAATATATTCGATAATACCGCACATTGCGCCCTGATTTACTGCAGCTCTAGATGGTGCGTGTGGCCGGAGGAGGGCAAAGGGAGCGATAAGAGAGCAGTGACATGACCACAAAACACAATCAATTTTGCATCCGGGGCGCACGCTAAAAAGGAGGAGGAAACCATTCTGTGAGAAGGCGAGCCGCGGGATGGCCTTGTCCACGCTAGCCAACCACTACCAAGCTCTCGACCCGTCCACCCGCAATGTTTTGGCTGTTTCGGCAGGGGTGACTACCGCCTACGTATTTTTCGGATGCCTGCGCGACTTCTTGGTATGCATGCAGAAATTTTTGCTAATGACAATGGTGGTTGGCGTCGAGCAGGAGGCACAAAAATTATAAATTTCGATAGAATTTAGCTTTTTGTTCAAAAAAGATGATGACAAACCAACTACGTTTTTCCATCAATAAAACTACTAAAACGCCCAGAAACAACCTATTTTGCAGCACAAACGACGCCTTCATGCAATTGTGGCCCGGAGGCAGGCTGAACGCAGTGAAAGCCTGGGGAATGCCGAAGCTTCTTCCCACAAAACGACGGAAGCCCGTCGAAATGAGATCGGCCACATGGACTACAATACATTGTCAGGTAGGCAAGACCATAGGCCACAAGCAAAGTGAAACTCAGCGGCACTGAAATCCGGCAGCGTCTCGCCGACCGAGGCTCTTCATACCTACCAGTGGAAAGCGCTCGAAGCGCACCGCAGCACCAACTGTATCACGCTGTTCATTAAGGTCTGACGGATGAGGAATGGTCCAAGGGTTCTGTTCTATTTCGAGCGGGGGAAAACTGTGCGGGGGAGATTTGATTGGGCAGGATTACGAGATTTTCGCTATTTTCTCGGGATTTTTGCAACGCCATTCGATAAAGCATTGTGAAGTATACTAAGAGTTTTTGTTTGAGCTCTAATAAAACAGTACCGGTTTAAGTATTCCTAGGAAGCAAATGAATGGGCCGCTGAACTAGAACAGAATCCACCCGAGCCACGACCTCCACTTTATGGAATGCCAATTTCGGTGAAGGAATGCGTGCCGGTAAGATAGCCCACCTTGATTAAAATCCCCGTTAATGCCAGGTGAAAGGCTACGACGGGACCCGCGGATATGTGAATGAATGCTATATGCCGAACGATCGAGACTCTGTTATGGTGGAACATATTCGGGCCCTCGGTGAAAAAGACTTACAATTCTCAACGTTTTTTCCTCGTTCAGGCGGAATCCCATATGTCCAAACGAACGTACCGCAATCCCTGCTCGCCTATTCGTGCTACAACCCAGTGTATGGAACTACCAATCATCCCGATCATAAGGATCGGACGCCTGGCGGATCGTCGGGTGGCGAATCAGCGTTGATAGGTGCCGGCGGAAGTCTACTGGGCATTGGCGGGGATGTCGGGGGAAGCATCAGGTTCCCGTGCCACTTCTGCGGAATCGCTGGCATCAAGGTATTCTGGAAACGAGTAAGAAAATGCGGGTTCCAGCCGTCCCACATGCGTCTATCTCATCGGGGTGTACTTGGGTCAGTACCCGGCCGGCCGTTGATAAATGCCAGCGATGGACCAATGGCTCGCGACGTTCACACTTGCGTCGAGTTTTTGAAAACGGTTTTTGGCACAGCTAGCTCTACAAAAATTGTCTAGGTTTGGTCGGATGACTTCATACATCAACGAGATCCCTACACGGTGCCGGTGCCATGGAACGAGCGACATTTCCAAAAAGGGACTCGCTACCGGATTGGTCTGTCACTTCTAATCGAACTGGTAATTTGCGGTTGACTACAGGGTATTACACCGACGATGGTTGGTTTACGCCAACGCCGGCCCTGCAACGCGCCGTACGGGAGACAAAGGAAATGCTGGAGGCGATGGGTAATATACCTGGTTATTTTCATAGGTAAGAAAATTTTTGTAGGTCATCAGCTAGTCCCCTTCCAACCACCCCGAATCGAGGATGCCGTGTCGATGTTCATCGGAGCAGTATGCGTAGACGGTGGCAGATATCTCATCGACAAGATCAGCAATGTGGGTGTCAATTCTGGAGAAAGCGGTTGGGAAATGTTACCTAATCCGTGCGTTCCAGGATTTGATGGATCCGCGCTACGGGCCGATGTTGGGGTTGTACAAGCTGCCGTTCTGGGTTCAGTCACTGATCGCGCTCCTCGTCAAGCCCATCTACCCCCGCATGGCCCATTCACTAACTGCCATGCCGAGGACGACTTCCGGTGCGCCAGTAGAAAAAAAATTTGGCATATAACAAGGGAACCACGTGCGGTTACGAAGGTGTTTCGGTATGGGACCCAGCCTATTTTGTGCAGAATTTGTTGCTGATTCCGAATTCAGCTCCTATCTTTGCCAAATAGCTCGTTTAAGAAAGTTATAGCGTTTCAAAGTACCATTTTTTTCCAAATTTGCGAACTTAAAGGCTATTTTTACCTTTCCGGGGAGGTTCTGCGAAATGAATATCGCTATCGTATTCATAAAAATTTTCTCTATCGAATGATCAATTTATCTCAAAAATGAACATTGGTCTTGACTCCGAGTTTTGTATGGTAAATGGTGAAAAATAGCCTATTTCTTTTTTCTATTTTCCATTTCTGAGAGCCATAAGTGTCCGTCGATGGGCAGTAGCGCAGTAAACCAAATATACGATTCGAATTAGAAAATATTCTCGATAAGGTAGGCTATTAAGAATCGACGGCTCATCTTTTTTAAATCGGGCTATTTAGCAAACATTCAAAGTAGATACGGGATCAGTGAAAAATTCTACACAAGATAGGCTGACAAATTGATTGTCTGCTGATTGTGATTGTGAGTCCCATCCCGAAAAGCCACCTAAACCTTGCCTAGTTCACCTCTAACAACATGTAAGCCCCCCTTGGCAACAATATGATTTCTAGAGCTGCGCAAAAAATACGAGGCGATTGAACACTACCGTTTCGAGTACATCGATGCCATGCAGAAACAGGGCATCGATGCCGTGCTCAGCCCCGTGACTGTAGGCCGATATCCGCTCAAAATAGATGATACAGATATAGGTGACCCCGGCACCGCATCACGAAGTCCCGGTCAAATTGTTTTCCGTCATCTCCTACACCGGCATCTATAATCTACTCGATTTTGCCGCTGGGACTGTTCCTGTTACTCACGTCACACAGGTGGTGGATATGAACAAGTTATAGACACCATAAATTGAAGAAAGACGATGAAGATCTTGATAAATATCCGACTTCAGACCCATGGTATCGGCTAGCAAAGAGTACGACAAAGGTTGGTTCGACGTGCAAGTTGGATAATACTATTATAATCGCAGAAATCCAGCTGCGAAAATACCTAGTGCCCTTTAGGGAGCCCTTGGGCTGTCAGTCGGAGTCCAGGTAGCCGCACCACCGTTCCGCGAAGAAGTGGTGCTGCGCATCATGCAGGACATTGAAAACCATCATAAACAGACCGATTATTAGTATTATTTGCGAGGGTGCAATTCCGTTGTGATAGCAATGATCTGTAATCTAATAAATCTTTATTTGACCAACAACAAAATAACAACAATCGAAACAGAACAAGTAGTCAACGTAAAAATGGCAGACTTACTGAAAAGCCTCCACAACGGCCTCAAAATGCCTCAGGTCAACGATTCGAAGCAGATCGTTTAGCTCTCCACCCACCGAAACGACGGAGGCCGAATCCGGGCAGAACGAGACAGAGTGTAGTGGCCCCAGAGACGAATCTTCCTTGTTCACCATTGTCGGCTGTCCATCGCCCATTTTCCAAACGATCAGCTGCTAAAATAATTATATGTATATGCAGGTTCAGAGCAACTCCTGCAAAGAAAACGCAAACTAAAAATTACCCGATCCTCTCCAACACTTGCAAGAAGTCCCCTTGTGAGGGGTGAAAGGGCGATTCCATTACAAGCTCCCTGATGCGCATCCACGCTCCACACCGGCGTAGATGTATTCCGGGTGTCCAGGTATCGTATTTTGCCTGCAATAAAAATTGCACTGAAAACAATTGACGAAAAATACCGTCTTCGGTCGCAGCGACAATAGCGAAAGGATTGAAGTGGTCCCAGATAGCCTTTTCGATCTAAACAAAAAAACATTAGATTTTTGGAAAGCCATGGTATCCGCCATACCTGTGCACCGAGCTGCCATTCGGCCGGACGAGCTACCTCGACGCTTCGACAATCGCAGACGTACACGTGCCCACCCAGCGTTCCAGCAGCAAAGATTGTGGGCTCAGCCGGATGCCAACGGACCACTTGTACCTAAGGAAAAGTAAAAACCTAATAATAACCATACATACTTCACGGTCAAAATCCGGGACAATTTGCGCGGCCTTTGCTTGGTCCAAATCCCAAAGTACGACCGTCTTGTCGGCTCCTGAAAGTAAGGATGGAGGGATATTTCTAGGTTTTTCCCTGAGGCGAAGAGCAGCGCGCGCCAAAGCAAAAGAAACGAACCAGCGGAGGCAAGCACGTGAGGTGTCAAACGGTTCCAACTCAGGTCCAAAACAGCGTCACTATGCCCTTGCGCAGTGCCGTCCCGCTTCTTGCGTCCAATTTCTATAAAATGATATCCTTAACGTTTATAACAGCCTACTTTTGACCTTGCCAAGCGTCACCACCGGATCCATTGCATTGACGATATCCAGGTCCCAAATGCTAATCGACGACTCCATCGTACCAACAGCCATCAAGTTTCCCTAGAAATCGCGAATATTTTTGGAAGAGAAAGCGCAAAAACCTTTGATGTTGGCGAATCGTCATTTCCAGGGTCATAATTAATAGCTTCCAAGCAGAGCGGAGGTGCCGTTAGGATGTAGTCATGGTGCACATACCTAAACAAGCCTGATAACCTCGGAAACATATCTTACCAATCATCGTTTGTTTCATTGTAGACATAAACTTCCAGAGAGTAGGCATCCTGGAAAATGTTTTAAAAAACCGAAATAAGCTCCGACCCCGTCAATTTTAGCCACGGCCACCAGATTATCGTCGGGCTTTAGCTCGAAATCCTCTTTTTCTTCTTCTTCTTCGGGGTCCTCATGCGTCGTGATATAGGGATCGTCCATATTGCTCGCGAATACTGCCACGCCTTTCATGCCGCTACTAAAAAGCGATTTTTGGCAATACATCTCGATTACATAGAAACATTAGAACCATCTGAGGTTCTTGTGTATTCCCGGGGGGGCGGAACTTTTGGCCCAAGCCTAGATTTTTAATATAAATAGTGGCAGTGTTTCTAAATTGTTTATAGCTATTCCTAAACATAAAAACTTTACAAAATTTAATTTTAGGTCGGAAAATCGATTTTTTCGGCCTAAAACTGACCAAATTTTCGACTTTTTCACGCGTTTTTCTAACTTTTAAAGTTTTCCCGATTCAAATAGGCTTAAATTTTGCTAAATACAATGTGAAAACACTTTATATTTGATTACTATCCCCACCAGGCCCCACAAAAAACGTCCCCCCCCCGGGAATACACAAGAACCCCATCTGATATTATATATCAGATGGCAAAGAAATAAATACGTACTCTCGCTTCTCTTCCTCTGGTTTATCGTAATCTTCAAGCAGCCGTTCCGTGTCCATGTCCTGATCACCATCATCGGGCACCTCAACGGGCGCTGATCCGCGAATTCCCTGGGGTTTTTCAGCGGCCTTCGGCTCTTTTGCGCTTTCTTGCGTGTCGTCATCCGAATCTTCGCCCATGTCTGTCGACTCCGGAACCTCGGCTAAAACAGATCCATTCGTATCTCCGAAAATGCTAATCACAAGCTAAAAAACGTAAGGAAACCGACCCTCGTCTTCCAGCATCTTTTTCAGGGTCTGCGGATCTAGTTTGATGTTGTCGGGTTGCTGCTTTGCGATCCCACGTCGCACCCAGCTGGTGCCGGCAATCATGATGACCATGGTTACCTGAAAAAATATGAAATGTGCAAGTAAATAATAATAAAAATAAGAACAGCGAGTAAAGAAAGAGCACAAATGGAATGAAAAATGAAATATAGGAGATTTTGGGTATTTTTAACTTTTTAGAAAGCTTAGGAAAGCGGACTCCTAAATAAATCTACATTGGGCAAAACTGCTTTAAAAAGGTATAGTTGGTATCTAAAATCTTTTCCTTTGGAAGAAATGCCGGGCCGGCCCGCTCGGCCTGGAAAATTCTCTGAATGGCGGAAAGCGTATGCCGTAGTAGCTGTCGTAAAAGCTCTAAGCCAACGCCATTCCTAAGTTAAACTTGAGAATTGGTTCTTAAAAGATAGGGGCGGCATAAGTCAATCGATTACCGGAAAAAAATTCCTGCCCCCCCTGGACCCCCTCCCGAGACCCGACCGTGAACCCCCTCCCAAGGCAACAGATGCCACCACCCATTTAGAAATGTAAATTCCTCCAAATTCATCATGAAAACTTCGAATTTTTACGGAAGGATCACGCGGTGAAATTCGCGGCGCTTTCGATTGACGGCTAAAACGTGCCCACAGCGGTTTGCAGCCCTTTGCGGGGGTATTACGGTGGCGCCCTCTCGATCCTCCAAAGAGGCCCCAAGCAATAGAACAACCAATGCACATCAGTTATTCAAAACTCGTCTCCAAACCTCTCGCACCATGTCCTACTTTGGCATTGTTAACTAGAACCGACTTACAAGGCAATTCCCAACCACATTCGCTTCCATAAAATCTAACATCTCGTGGAAATGGCTGTCCGGCAGTTGCGGCCGCAAATTTGAGGCCAGACACTAGGCTCCAAAACTCTATTAGGCCCGTTTCCATATCTTCTCATCGTCCTTCCTCGCCTTATTAGGACTTGTGTATACAACTTCAACCACCTCTCACAGTGACTAGATTTCCAGCCAGCAGAATGTCGAAGGCCACCAAATTCTCCAAGGAAGAGGAGCTCCTGCTCAACTCATTCTCCGCTGATGTCTCTGCCCAAGGATCTGCTCTTTTCCTCGTCAACTCGCTCGTGACGGCCCTCGCCCCCGTGTATCTCTTCTACGGGGTCCACCATCTTGAGGTTGGTCGGCCAAAAATTCGTATTATTACGCGCGGCCAAATACCCGTAATGTCCCGTCTTTTCATGAACTTATCGAATAATGAAAAAGAACGAATAAACCTGAACGGCTTTCAGATTTCTGATGGTCTGTTCGTCTGGGCTATTGCTGTGGCTGGGGCCACTTACTTGCTGACGTGGGCGGCCAAGAACCAGAAGCACCAACTGAAGCACAAGTGGGTTTCCGATCTTGAAAAATATAACGGAAACGTTTATGGTATCATTGACTAACGAGGAGAAAATTATTTCACTGGAAGCAAATATTGTAGGTTGGTGCTGAAGAGGTCTCAAGCCGTTGAGAGGGAGATCAACAAGAAGTATGCTGACGACAAGAAAATCAGCCGTAAGGAGAAGGAGGTCAGTTTTTAACATATCAGATTTACCTGATGATTGTGTGGGCTGAAGTTAACGGGTCTTTTCCAGGAGCACGTGCTCTACCGACGCAACGAGGTTGCCGACAGCGAGGCCACCTGGCTGGCCATCTTCTTCAACAATGTGCTGTTCTTCTCGCTCCTCCTGATCTTGGCCTTCTTCCTGTTCGCCAACCTGAACCCGCTCATCAACTCGTTCGTCTCCATCGTTGGTGCCGCCGGCATTGTCGCCTTCATCTCGACGTCGAAGAACTGAGCGAACCCTGTTGTCTGCATTGTCGATTGTTTTTATTTTATTTATTTGCTAGCTTTGTGCGATGTACGACGGGAAGTGTTTCGAATGTAAATGATAAAAATTATTACGGAGTGTATTTTGTTGCATTACACAGTAAGTAGATACTGAACGTTTGAATTGTTTAGGAAACTTAATTGGCAGATTTATCGTCACGATAACAGCAATTTATGGCGGTGGGCATTGCCCTCCACAGCATTGTTGGCTCAGAGCATCCAGCGTTGGAGGGCATCCAAGCAGACCTCCGAAATCTGTGTAGATCGCACCCGAGCTTTCCCGTAGGGCTAATAAATCAATACATTATAATTTTTAGAATACAGAGTGCTGGAGTATTCCGGAGACACACTTTGTTCGGCGCAAGCCTGGATTTTGTTATATAAATATAGAATATATAAAAATATATAGAATGCGCGTCTGTATTGCTTTTACCCTTTCCGAGCTTAAAAACTTTATAAATTTCAACAAAAAAATAAAAATAATTTTTGGATTTGGCAAAATTGGTTTTTTCGACCCAAAATGACCAAAATTACGACTTCAAACATGTTTCAGACTCTTTTGAAAGTTTTTGCTTCTAATATAGTTAAAACTTTCTAAAAACAGTATAAAAACGCTCGATTTTTTAATTACTAGGCAATCTATACCCACAAGTAAGGCTCGCGATGGGTTTATCTCTCCATCACCCTCCCTGTCGCTCTATCTCTCTCTCTAACTCTATCTCATCTATCTCTCTTTCACGCTCTCATCTATCTCTCTCTCTCTCTCTTTTTTTTTTTTTTTTTTTTTTTTTTTTTTTTTTTTTTTTTTTTTTTTTTTCTTTCTAAAACCCAAAAATCACCTTGGAACAATATCGTAACGAGCTGGTAAACATCGTCGGTTCCAGGCTAAAGAATCTATGAACAAACTGCCATCAAAAAGTCAACCAAGAACGAGATGGCCTCCAACACCTGGATCACAGTCGCTTCCAACCACCCTCCAAAAAACTAAAAAAAGCGTTAATTGTTTATCTTTACTTACTCTACGGCTTGAATAGCTATCCTATCCCCTCAAAAAACCTACGTTTTGCGTGACAAATTTGAGCAAGTCTCCAAAGAGGAAGCACTCGAGGCAGGTAAATGTGTTCGGCGTGCCGGCGTCCAGTTGGAGCGAGCCATTTCTAGCTCCTAAAATAGATGAAATATTTAAAATGCGCTGCAATAGCATACCTCCACATGTCGCGCGAATTTCCTCGACAAAGGTAAGCAACAATTTGTGGAAAATTTTGGAGTTTTGAAGCGAGGACACCTCAACGAAAGCTATTTTTTATGACTACCAGTAGAGGGTATTGAATCCGGATTTGGAAATTCGATGTAGGACCAAGTGTATCCTGTCTAAAATTTTTTCGGATTCCGAATCTGTTTTCAGAAATAGCAGAGGTGCCTTATTTTAAAAGTTACGTCAAATTCTAGGGCGTTTTTCGGCAGAAATTTGCAGGCTTGGAAAAACGTCGTATGCACATTCGGCTCTGGATAAATGGCGCTTTGAGGTGCGGTAATTGTTAAATTATTTTGTATTTTATGTTTTTCAAGAAACCTTTTTGTTCAGGAAAGTTGCCAGCAATAGCAGCCATTTGCTCAACCTTGAAGTGTTTTCCTCAATTTTCGCAAAATTTTGATGAGTTATATCATCGGAAAGCGAGCCCCAGCTAACAAATCTCCACCCCGGGTAAAATGACTTGACGGTAACACTTGTAGTCTCTTTAGGCTTGTTGTAAGTTTGTAGGGTTAAACCTGTAGGTTCGTTGCCGGCGCGCACAAGCTCATATAGTGACAGCTCGCATCGCAGCTCTCCTCTGCCAAACCTTTAATGGTTGATGTTTTTGCATCGGATACCTCTTGTCAAAACGCGCTGCCAGCCAGCCGCGAGTCTTTGCACATCGAGGAGGGGAACCGGTTGGTCAAGACGCGGGAAGGCTAGCTGAATTCAAGTCTTATAAATAAAATGACGCTCTAATAATGTGCGTCCCCGCCCTTCCGCCGCAAAAGCTATATAAACCAAAAGAAGATGCGTAGGATTTCCTGCATCAATTTCAGAAAAACAGACCGCCGTTGCAAATATCGCCAACGCAATAAACGATTGTAGCAGCATTTTTGCGAATCAATACGGTTCGAAGAGGGACCCCCGAAATGTGAGGGCGCTTATCAATTATTCGTGGTACTCGCGCTCGCCCGTTGCTCGCTTTTACCGCCTGTGTTTTTATGGAATAGACCCAGGTTTCTAAAGTGTGGAGAAGGATGTCCCACAATGGGTGTCCTTGAGTTTCAGAACTGTTGCCGGTTGGGGCCAAAACGAACTTCCGCAAGGATTTTGTGTTGATTCCAAGTATGTTTTCCAAGTTTTCATAACAGCCATTGACGGAAAATACGGTCGCTTGTATATTCTTACGGGGAGTCTTAGTGTGCAAGTGTTGGCAGGAAAAATCCTAGTTAAACACCTATCTAACTCGTGGTTTTCAAAAAGCTCGGCAACCCTTAACGTTTTGACGATACGGATGGCACGAATTTGAAAAAGTTGTGAAGCCTTTTAGGGCCGAAAAGGCAAAAAAGGCAAAAATTTGCAGAAATTGGGCCTTCTGGGCCTTTTTCGCACTTAAGACCTTCATCACGTTTTGCAATATTATCGTTTTACAATTAGCAGTATTGCAGATTTTGAAAACCGGTTCACAATTAGCGCAAAATTCTGAACAAGCTAGGCTCGGTTCCACTTGGAAACCCCCTACAACACTCAGCGTCTTACCCCCATTCTATGCTTTTCTTGGCCCCCAACCCAGCGGGTGTCTGCTTTGACCCTTACAAGGGAACCTCAAGTTGGCACGGTGGAATTTCGAAAAACGCTCGCGGCTACCCCTAGGTTTTCGACTATGGCGATTAACGCCTTGTCAGAATTTCCTTAATGGACCTCTGGACAGAGATACAGCACTTCCGGAAAATGATAATTTACATCCGAAAAATGAGCATTAACGATAGGTTTATGAGGCTCTCCCATCACTATGGAATCACCAGTTGAATGGCCGAGTGGTAAGCGACTCACTTGATAGGATACTGACGAGGGTTCGAATCCGCTCACAATTTTTTATTTTGCTTTTTGACCGGAACTTTCAGCCCAACCCCAAGTTTTCGTTAATTTTTTTCGAAAATTTGTTCTGTTTCTGAAATGCCTAA